AAAAAAGACCAGCAAGAAAACCAGCAAAAAACCAGAAGAAAATCAAAATCAAAACATTGTTGCAGCGAAAGTTGCCCTAGCCCACACACAGAGAGTGAGATGGAGAGAGGATATGTGTGTGGATATTGTGGTTGGTTGCTTGTTTGGTTGATATCGCAATGTTACTATGATAGCTCTTGGCCATAAATGTCTTCGCTGCTGGCCATAAATGCCGTTGCTTTGGCCATCACTTCTCGCTGCTTGCCGCTTGTCGCTCGCTGCTGCCAAGTGGACAAAAGGAAGTGAATGCTTGTGTGGCAGTTTTGATAAAAATTCGCTGATTTCAAACAGAGCGCAAATGGGGCAAATAACATTGTTCAATTCAACCACCAATGTTCCTGCAGTTGCATCTTTAAACAATCAAACAAAACAATCGAAAGATTTAACAATCTAAGTACTAAAAATGTATCTTATATTTTATATTAAATTTCCTTTGCATTGCTCCTTAATTTATTTTCTGTGTATAATTAATGAGTTAGGACGAAAAGCATTTCAAGAAATACCAGACAAACCAAATTACAGCAGACAATCATTTTAAACTAATTAAATTTAAGCACAGCGTCTAGAATATTCTGGCTGTACAATGTCTAAGTTCTAGATATGTTTATGTGTTCTGTTTTTTTTTTTTGTTGGGTGTTTTGTGGGCGTACCATAAACATGCCAAAATAACAATGGTCCATGCATGCCCTCTGCCCCCTGCTCGCTGCACCTTGTTTCCTTTTGCTTTATACTGACAGGCAAATCTAATAAGCATAATGAATGAAGCAGCAACCAGGAATGGCGCAACCAGCTGAGTTTCTGTTTTCGCTCAACGTGTTGAACTTGTGCTGTCACCTGTAAAGGCAATGACAACAAACCAGCCTCCTCTCCACATGCCCCCATCCCATGCCTTTTAGTGTGGCATGTGGCCATGTGGCAAATACATAACTTGAAATTCTCACTGCTCCCATTGTGTGATGCTGCTGCTGCTGCAAGAAGATATTCTTTGTGTCTATCTCTCTGTCTGTTTAATTAATTTCTATATTAGATTCACTTCATTAAAAATGTTTTATATATGTTTTTGGCCATTGTGTTATTGTTTTGTTACATTCTTTTTGTTTTTAATGTGTCTACACACACACACACACACAGGCAGAGACGCGAGGAATGTGGTGTTGATTGAGCGGCGCAAATGTGTGACACAATTGTGCGAACAAAACTACACTTGGTGGTGTGGTTTCTGTATCTGGGTATCTTTGAGATATACATGCTATGCTCAATGCCTGCCTAATGGCTTGTAAGTGATCTGTGGGCATGCAAGCTGAGGGGTTTTATTTTTGGGGCGGGGGGAGGTTGAGGTTCAAGATGTGGCTCAGGGGCACCTAGATCCAAACGGATTACATAATTCATCATCAAATTCCCCAAAACCAGTGACACTTGCTCAGTTCGGGGTCGTTTGATCCCCACCTCAACCCCTAACCCCCCACATCCCACATCCCACCCAAACAGCCCTCTTAAAAAGGCTCTTCAATCGTTGACTGTTGTCAAACTCATTTAAACCTAAGGTCTCCGACCACCACCTTCCCCCTCCCCCTCCCTGATGCGCTGCAACGCCCACTCTTCTCTTGCTATGCCAGCAATTAACGCACTTTCAGCTACATATACAAACTGGGTCAAGTGTGTGGCAGCCGAGAGGTGGGCCATGGTAGTGGGGGTTGCGACTAGGGATGGGGTTGGGTAGGTTTTGAAGTTTTTCAAGTGCCTGGCACTTCGCAGTCGTCTAATGAAATGCATTTCAACTCTCATTAGGCAGGCCATTTGGTGATTTAAACATGAAAGGTGTATAACACTTGGCCAAGCCTTATAAATATATATGTGTGCAGGTGTGTGTGTGTGCACAATGGGACAGTTGTGCTGGGTATTCAATTTCGTATATTAATTGCTTAAATACATTCAAAGGACTCCGTTTAGTATTTGTCGCGATAAAAGTTTTTAAATATGGTTTAGTTTCGACAAACTTATTCCACTTTCAATTGCTTGATTTATATTTCTATTGATTAAAATTTGTGAGAGAAAATCAAGACAATATTAATGCTCATATTTTAGATGTTAGATTAAACTCGAAGACAAACCATAACCAATTCTAAGCAGTTGAGAATTAATCGATTCTTTTCAAGTGCAAATAAAAGAACTCTTAAAATAAATGACGAGCGCATTAATATCATTTAAAATGTCCATGCATAAGAATCCTAAAGATATCAACATTCTTTTCAAGGATAAATAACATTAAGCATAAGCTCCATAATTCCTAAATATGATATTAAAAGAAAGAGGCCAAACCTTTAAGTCTTAAAGCTCGCCACAACTCTTTTGACTTGAACCAAATTTCCTTTGTGCTGCTTATGTATTGAAAGTTGTTTGCCTTCACGCAATCACAGGGCAACAGGGACAACAGGGACAACACAAACAGCAAAGGGGCCCGACCCCGAACCCATCGTGAAGCGTAATGACAAACTCAAAGTAAAAGCAATTTTCCATATACGCAAGAATAAAATGCTGTTTAAGTGCTTTTCCTTTGTGTTTTGTTGTTGTTCTGTTTTTTTTCTTTATAACGGCATTACACACACCTTTTGAACCCAGGGCAACATTGCCAACATTGCCTTGCCAACCGTTGTGCTCCTTGTTTTGTGTTAATTTTGCATAGAATTAAAGAGGAAGTTTTGTTTTTATTTTCATTCGTGCTTTATTTTGTTTATTTAACTTGTAATGTGCTGGCACTTAATGCAATTTTGATGTTTTTGCGTCACCTGCTGTTGATTTTCAGCAACTACAACACAAAATAAAACTTTACATTGCAATTGTGGTTAAAGTTTCACGAGTTGCTTTTGTTGTTCGTTGTTGCTTGTTGTTGACTGCGCTTTTTCTTCTTTTTTTCTGGCCATTGCAAATTTTCTTGCAACATTTTACAAATGCGTTGGCTTCCAAAACTCTTTTAACAGCTTCCTCTCTCTCAACTCTCTCCCTCTCTCTCTCTCTCTCTCTCTCTCTTTGCTGCCTGGCATTTTTGGCGCTTGCCACAATGGCCACGTTCCGTAGTCACACCACTAGACATACTCTCTCTCATGCATTCTTTCTGTGCTCTGTTCCATGCCATAGACCTTTTCAGGGGCGGTAGGACGCATTTGGGCATGGCTAAAGCTTTTTGGCAACAGCAGCAAATATAGCAGCAGCAGAAGCTGGAGCATCCTGCAATTTTGCTTTGTCATGTGCAATATTTCTTCTTCTGGCTGCACAGTGTCTTTTGTTTAAGAACTCGATACCGAAACTCTTATATGTGTGTGATTGTTTGACTCTGAAACTCGGAAAATTGGCAAAGTGAACCTTTTTGTAAAGCATTTAAGCAAAGCAGCATACAAAATTAGTTGCAACAAAAGTTGGCTCTTAAGAAAAAGAGGCAAAATAATATATATGAACGTATGTAAATGGGACTGCATATTTATATAGTAGGTGAGTGGGAAATTAAAGGGCAAATACTGCTTAAAATACCTGTAAAAGTTGTTAAACTTTGATAAAATATTCCCAGAATATTGCATACTACAAATGCCTTGATATATTGCATCTTCTTCAAATAAGTATATTCGATATTTATTTTGAAGCTCTCTGAAAATTGTATGTGCAACATCAGAGTTGGGCCTGCAAGGAAAGCTGTTAAGAATAATACCAAAATGATGTAACCATAAACATGTTTCGTTATTAGTATTTTTATAATACTGCGCTGCCGATAAATCAATTAGGAATCATTGCTGAAAAGTGTGCGATAATGCGATAATGCGATTACAATAGAGACAGGCTTTTGACATAAGAAATTTGTCACATCATTCGACGAGACGGAGCAGAGCAGGCTGTGTTAAATCCTACTTCATTGCGTGTATACGCAGTCTTAATTCATTCGTCTGTGAAACACCTACCTGAAAAAAGTTTATTTAAGTCATCTCGGCAACAAAAAACAAAAATAAAACATTAAGTTAAATCAAGAAAATTTTCTCAATTTTCCTCGTGTGAATATTCGCAAAGTCGCGACAAGTGAACAATAAAAGTGAATAAAAAGCACAAAGAGAAAACGGGAAAGCGAAAAACTTTCTTCTGTTGGTAGCTGTGAACTAAACTGAACTGAACTTACTGAACTTAACTGAACTGATCAATCTGAATAATGGAGAACTATATGTGGGTGCCACCATCGCAGTCGCAGTCATCGCCGTTGCCGGCAGCGCTGCCGCAGTCGTCGCAGCAACCGCTGGTTAGTGGCACACCGCAGCAGCAGACGCCGCAGCAGCAGCAGCCGCAACAGCAGCCTGCGCGTCGATTTCCCGGTGGCCACAAGAATAACTACGGCTATATGCAGAGTCAGGCTAACGCGGCTCTCCTGATGACCACCAGCAATCCCGCTGTCCAATTTATAGGGATCGGTTCGACCAGCACTTATCGCAATCATTCGATGAATAGTGGCTATAATCATGGCGACGGCTTTCAGCATAACGGTAAGAAGTAATTTCTACGACATGATTCAGCAGAAAATAAATTGAGCATTTTCTCGTTGTCTGTCAAATGTCAGGCAGTGGTGCTGAGGCGTTGCCATATCTAAGTGCTGGTGTGCACGTAGTGTTGCCACTGTGTGCGTGTTGTGTCAGTGTTGCGCAACGTGCTTTCTATTTATAAATGAATTATGATTTTTCCAAACTCCCTTCTCCTCCCAAAACTACTACAACATTTGTCGCTAAACACATTGAATGGCTATCCAAATTGAATTCTTGTACTTACTACTCACTCACTGTTTGAATGGTGTCTAAATATTTATACATATATATATATATATATAGATATCTATATAGATCTGAAATTTTTGTTTATCCAACTTGTCAACACTTGAGCAAAATGACTAAACGACTATTTTCTTCTCTTCCATTTCTCATTTCTCTTTGCAGGTAAGTCGCTGTTTTCTATACCCGAAAATGTTGTTGTGCTTGAGAGCCGTAAGTACATTTCAAAACTATACCACTATTTTAATACACATTATGCACATATAAACATTCATATATATATATATCATATGTATATATATACATATACCATTCATCAATACACCTTTTACACACTACACTTGATTTATTTTCGGCCAAAAGTCTCTCGCAGTTGAACTACATTTCTCTATTAATTGCAAATAAAAATTAAAAACATTGCCAACTAACCCATAAAGATCAAAAAGCTGTCGAACTACAAAAATTATTGCATTTGCGTGTGTTTTGGAAAAACGCTTCTGCCATTTATGAATTATCATCTTCGCTTGTTTTCCAATACAATTTTCGAATTTCCCCTTTGTATTCTGTATCTAGTCTTCAATTTGCAATTGCAATTACAATTTCGATTTTCTTATAGTATATAGTACATAGTATATAGTATTGTAAAGTCATATCCATTCAGTTCATGACGCCATCGACTTTTATTTTGAAGATTGTTTTTTTATTGTTGTTGCCGTTGCAATTTACATAATTTTCAATGCATACGCAATTTAGTCGAGTATTTGAAAAAGTATATCGATTATAGAGGGAAAACGCAGACACGTGCATGGTAATAGAATTTCATTATTATTGCCAACTGCCCTGTGCTTTGTAGGGGGTCGCCTTGTTGGTTCTTGGTGCTGTAAAAGCAGTTGCATTTTAAATGTATTTCTTCGATTCTTACAAGCGGACAAAATTGAAGGAGTATGTTTAAGTAAGAGGCCTGTTGTCTCTAGAAAAAACTATATATTTTAGAATAATATTAAGATTAATTTCATTTGTCTTACTTTCTCTATGCTTCTACCAAAATCTACGGGCAAATTAAAATCAAATACAAATACGTCGTTAAACTCGCAGAAAAAAACCATTTGAATAATTTTCTCAACCAGCAGATTGCCAAAATTTTCATAACAAGCCGCAACTCAAATTGAACAGCAATCTCATTAGAGTATGCCATAAAAACATGAATGCCCATTCTAATAATTAAATATATACATAAAAATTCATAGATAGGCGAAAATATATTCGCACCATAATTAAAATAAATATTTCTGAGTGCTCAATAATTGCCAAATAAATTATTTTAATTGCAAGCCTGAGGAGAATGCCGCTAAATATATAAATAGCCAAGTATCTCTCATTCTCGCGCGCATCTTCCCTCTCGCTCTGGCTTTGTCTCTTGCTGGCTCGCTCGCTCGCTCGCTCGCCTGTCATTTATTATAGAACAAATTTGCTTCCGTTCTGTTGACTAACCAATACGATGCATTGGTCACACCCACCAAATTTGTCGCAGGTGGCAACAAAAAAAACCAAAAAGAAAAAGCCATTTCAAAAATATATAAAAGGAAACACTTAAATATACATAAAAATTCCAAGGAGGGAGGGGGATGAGTGGTGGGCGATGATAATATTGGTGGCATATTTTTAGATTTATAGCGGCCGTATGAAGATTTCTCTCGCCGAAGATGTTGATGGCTGCCTTTCCCCCAAATAGGGATCAACATCAAGACCAATCGAAGATTTATGCCTGTTTTCATTAAGAGCAGCAGTCAACTCTAACCTCTAACCACCCCCACAACCACCCGCCCCCCTACTACTGCCCCCTACACACACACACGTAAATTAAATACGCGACTTTATTTGCGTTTCTTCGGCATTTGTGTTATTGTCAGCCCAGGGTTGTCAGGCTTTATCAGTGGCAAAGTTGCGTTGTGTGTTTGTTTATCTTGCCCCTGTGCGCAGCTGTTGACCCAGCACAACAACAAAAAATACATATATAAATATATATATATATTTATGTGTGTGTGTATTTGTATATGCATACATATGAGTATTTTTTTTGGCGCCCAACTTTGGTTGCTTAATTTCCGAGGCGAGTTGTAGGTGTGAAGTTATTTGCCATTAGTTCTCTACCCCTCCCGGTGCTCCCCTTCCTCTCTTTCTCCTGACAATCTGCCTTTATTTGCCTGTTGGCTTGTTTTGTGGCTTACTTTTGCTGATTGGCAGCGTATGTCCACTTCTCCCTCTCTCTCTCTCTCTCTCTCTCTCTCACTCTCTCACTCTCTCTCTTTCTCTCGTATCATCTATATAGGTTCTTTTCTGTACATATTTTTTGTTATTAAAGTGTTTTTCCTCTGTTGATATTTGCTTACGTAACGCAGCAAAATTATTACGCCCCGAAGAAGAAGGCGCAGCTGAAATTAATTGAATTAACTTTTGCTTGCCTTTTTTTTACACTCTCGGATATTTTGTGTAAATAGCGTAATTGTGAGCGATAACTATTTTAATTAGTCAAAGTAATTATTAAAAAGGAAACCTTTGTGAGTGCGGGAGAATTAAGATTAAAATGATATTGTATTAGAAAATATTTGTACAATTAATTATAATACAACACATTTAAACAAATCGTTCAAAATGAATGTGGGCTTTACTCTTCAACCCTGAAAGTGGGATTTAGTCGAAATCCATTTTGGCCCACAAAAATCACAAAACAAATGAAATTTCAACTAATACTTTGCTGTGAAAACCGTTTGCTCATAAATCACAAGCTTTCCAACAAAAACTTGCTCACAATAAATTAATTCATAGTGAAATAACAACAAGGACGCATAACCGCAACATGAACAAAACACAGAACAACAGCAACAAAAAACACAGTAACCAATTCGGATAACCGCATTTTCGGCAAAATGCGAGGGAGAATCCAAAAAGCATAAATATAAATTGTGTGTCCCTGGCATTTTATGGTAATTCAATCAAATTGAAAATGACAAATTGTGTCAAGTTGCGGTCATTTAAAAAAAAAAGCCCACTTCCTGAGTCGACCTGGGTGCTGGGTGGTAATGCAAATGGACAGAATGTGCCATAATTAAATCCCACGTTGAGAAACAATAAAAGTGGCCAATTCGTAATGGTTTTAAAGTTGATGTAGTTGTTGCGCTGGGCGTGACTGGGCTTCATCTGCCCCGCCCCCCCTACCCCCTCTCTCACATCAATCAATAAGAAGCGATCAATCAAAACGGTGTCAACAAGCAGTACGCATCCAGCTGATGATGTTGCTGCTGCTGCCGCCTGTCGCTAGATGGCGTGTCGAACATGAAGAATGAAGAATGTCGATGTCATCGCCTGACCAACTTTTCGAGAAACCAATGCCCGATTCCACCACCACACTCCCTCTCCCTCTGCCTTCCTGGCTCATCGGCATCTCACTGCCGTGTGCCACACTAACGAGCGCTAATGGGCAATAAGGCCGCCCACACAGCCCCCAACCTGCCATCCCACCCCTGGCAATATGCTAGAATGAAACTATTGAACCAAAAATGTTCAAGTGACTTTCAAAGTTTTCTGGGGGTGCCACGCGCAATATTGCGTCGATTATCTTCAATCAAATGCACTTGATTGATGACTGCAACCGGACCAAACCGACCGTAGTACGAACAGATAATATCATCCCCAATCTATCTCAAGGCTACTTTAAATTTACTCCAGCATTAGTTCGTATTAAAAATAAAGAATAAAATAAATTAAAAATTGCAAAATAATGCAAAAGCAATTCATCAGCGTCAATGGGTATTAGAGGTGCAGGAGAAAGTTGGTTAGGGAGCGCTTTTCTCGATAGTGCTTTCAACTTTGTGTTATTGATGAACTTTAAATTGAAGTTTTGATTTTCAAAAACTTTTTAACGATTCTGCAAAGGCTGACTGAAGTCGTAAATTGAAATTTAACAATTTGTGCTTTATAAATTTGATTTACTTTACTCGTGCCAAATCTGGCTTAAAGCCGTAAAACTTACAAATACGTAAAGATTGTGTTTTATGTACATCCAAAAAAGGGAGTGCAACAATTTTAATGTTTTATGTGATTTATTGGGAATTTCTCTTTCACTTATGACCTTTGCTTGGGGCTGCTTACATACAATCTACGTATACATATATTGCTCAATCCTCCAATCCTTTGCTATGGCTAAAATATTCAAGAGCACTTGCTTTACCAATCTCGTTTTTCTCTCGGTCGCCTTTCTGCCATTGGTAGAGCAATCTCGCAACTTCCACTTCATTTGCATACAAATTATGGTCTAAATGTTGCGCATAATCAACAATTTGCAACCCCGCTTTGTGATGACCTGTTAGAGAGCGCTGCATAGCTCGAAAGTAATTGACCACATGTACCCACTCTGCAACACAGTGTTTCCCCTAACCCCCTCACATCTCAACATCTTGCTTAATTTGCCTAGTTGCTGCTGCTGCTGCTAAATGTTGCTGATGATTTTCTTTAATGTTCCATTTCATAATTTTATGAGGCAAAGTACGCCAACCGTTCTCCACAGTCCTCCTCCTGATTCTGCCCCGGCGCCTGCCTCTGGTCACATTTGCTTAATTTATGCCAACAGCGGCTGCTGCTGCTCTTATGGCATCGCTTCATCTTCTTCTCGCTCGTTGTTGTTGTTTTTGTTGTGGGTTTCGTTCTTGCTGCTACTTCTAATAAATTGTAATTAATTTTCCCAGCTGGCCTTAGAAAAAAAAAGAAAAAACATCAACTTTTCAACACAATTTTGTTTAAGCAGCAACAGTTTTTTTCTAGCAATTAAATTTCCCATTTAACTAATGCGTTGGCATTTAAAAGGTGCCGCTACACTTTGCACAAGCAAGCAGCTAAAATATATAGGAAATGGGAAATGAGAAACAGCGCCTGGCATGCTACCCCACAAAAAGTCAATACATCCGACCGCAAAACAAGTTGAGTCAAATCAAACAAACAAACAAAACACACACGCCATGTTGTCATCTAACTAAAAATCCATCCATTCCGAGACCATTCGATACCAACCCAAAAATGCTACCCTCTATCGTATATAGCCGCATCGTTTTTCGATGCACTCGAATATGCTTTTGGCCGGCCGGCCAGTGTAGAGTAGTATGTCGCATGTCTCTTGGCATTCCTTTTGGCCAAATGTTGCAATTGCCAGATTGGCATGA